TAAATAAAATCTTAAAAAAAAAAAGAATATGTAGGAAATTTCTTATTTCTTAGAAATACATACTGAAGAATTTAAGGGCAAAATATTGTGGTGTCTATCATTTAAAATAATTTAAAAAAATAGATGAAATTGTCCAGAATAGGTAAATCCATAGAAACAGAATGCAGATTGATGGTTGCTGGTCGCTCCGGGAGGGGAATGGGGTGGGGGTGACTGCTCATGGGGACGGGGTCCCCTTTTGGGGTGATGAAAATGTTCTGGAAGTAGGGAGAGGTGGTGATAGCACGTGGTAAATGTACTAAATCACCACTGAACTGCACACTTTGAAATGGTTAATTTTATGTTATGTGAATTTCACCTCAAGAAAAAAGAGAAACAAAGTGATGAAGTGAACACAGTGTTCACAATGGGCACCTCTGGGTGCTGGAGACCGGGTGGTTGGGGTCCAGGGACCTGCAGCCCTGGCATCCGGGGGATGCTGCTTGGAATGTCAGGATCCCACCCCGGATCTGCCCAACCGGAATGTGCATGTTAACAAGATCCCCAGATGATCCGTGAACACACTGAAGTCTGAGAAGCGCTGTGCTGTCCTATTCCTTTCTGTTTGAAACTGCTCGTGATTCTAACAATGAAAAGATAAAAGAACTTGCTTATGGAGAAGCGTTTCAAGCAAAAATAGGCACGGCTTTTTCGCCAATCCAAAAATGAGCAACTTAAATATCGAGTGTTTTTGAAGTGTTGAGAAATGTGCTCATATCTTTGCCTGAACGTCCTCATTCAATCCTTGGGAATGGGAGGAACGTGCTATTATGATCATCCCCATTTCATTGACAGGGAAACTGAGGCCTGAGAGTTGCTGGCCCCTTGCGCAAAGTTAAATGCTGAGATAAATAGCAGAGCTGGGCTTACATCCTGTCCTTTGGTCTCCAAACTACAGGGTGAAAGATTCTGACTTTTCACCCTGAAGGGGCTCCGTGGCCCCAAGAGTTGCAAGGTCCCACGAACCGTGAGAGAAGATGGACTCTGAAAAACAAACTGAGGGTTCTAGAGGGGAGGGGGGTGGGAGGACGGGTTGGCCTGGTGGTGGGTATTGAGGAGGGCACGTTCTGCATGGAGCACTGGGTGTTGTGCACGAACAATGAATCATGGAACACTTCATCTAGAACTAATGATGTAATGTATGGGGATTAACATAAGAATAAAAAAAAAAGTAAAATAAAAAAAAAAAAGAGTTGCAAGGTCCCTGCCTGCCCCTCCTTCCTTAGTTCATCCACTGAACATTTATCGAGGGCCTCCTGTGCCCTCAGAGCCAGGGATTCGCTGAACCCTAGGAACTCAGGGGTGACCAGGACTTGCCTAGGCCCTGGGAGCTCACAAGCTGGTGGGGGAGTGCGCCAGGCAACCTGATGCTGATATTATGGCACGCGGGATCGCTGATGGGGTGCTTGCAAAGATAGGCACCGCGTGCGGTCATGGGAGGTCAGGAAAGGTGTCTTGGGAGATGCAGCTGGAAGGAGCTGTGCAGGCCAAGGGGCGGGAACCGTGTGTCAGGCAGAGGGAACAGCCAGAGCAGAGGCTCGGGGGCGGTGACGGAGTCTGGTCTGCCTGGGGAAACTTGGGGCCCATGGCGTCATTTGGCCAGAGGAAGGTGGGTGTGAGGGGTGGGCACACGTGGGGTTAAGCAGTGCTGGGGGCTCACCTTCATCATGAGCACGATGGTGTTGAGAGCGATCATGGCCATGATGGTGTACTCGAAGGGCGGAGACACCACGAACTGCCACATACGGTACTGAAAGCTCTGCTTGTTCTGGGGCATGTGTCGGGTCAGTGGTTTGGCGCTGATGGCGAAGTCGATGCAGGCTCTCTGCGGGAGAGAGGCTGGCGGCGTGAGGGCTGGGGGCAGGAGAAAGGCGGCTGCACCCTGAGCACCCCGCATCTCACTGGCCACGGCTCTCTGGCACATCTGCACGAGCCTGTCCCCAGCCGAGATTCCTCACTCCCAGAAGCCCTTCACCACGACCACTTTCTCCTGCCAACAGCTACAGCTCCTTGAGAAGTCATCGTCTGCCCGATCTTGCTCTGACATGTCCCTCATGACCTCCCTGAATCCCCTCAGCAAACATGGGAAGTGGGTACTATCAATAAACCTACTTTGCAGGGGAAGAAAACAGAAGCTCAGAGAGGGTAGGCCACTCGCCTGACGTGGCACAGCTGCCAAGTGGGCCAAACCTGAACTTGAACCAAGGTCTGACTTTGAAGTCTAACCGTTCTTTCCTACTGAATGCTTCTTTTCCTCCTTCTCTTTGAGGTTGGAAGGAATAATGGCTACTTAGTCTTAGGGGCCAACGGAGCAGAGGAAGGACGCATTCCAGGTCTTCCGCTTAGTTTGGATGATTCTAGAAGGGCAAAGCACCATGTCTGTACTCTCTGGAGGACTGGATTTTCATTCATAAATATTCACCACCCCGCCCTCAGGGAGATCATACTTCCTCACCCCACTGACATCAGACATTGGTGTGTGACTCGCTCTGGCTAATGAGATGTGGACAGAAGGGACATGTGTCACTTCTGGGCACAGACTACAAAAATTGGACCAGGGTTTGCCATTCTCTCTTCTTGATCTGAAGTGTCTCAGAGAGGAACCAGAGTAAAGATGATGTGGACCAGAGCCACCTGGACATGTGGTGTTGAGCAAGATATCAATCAATCCCTTTGTGGATAGCTGGTGCTGAGATTCTGGAGCTGTTTGTTACTGCGGCATAACCCAGTCCACACTGACTGATACAGACACCCTCTGTCGGTGTGTTTTCATCTGGGAACCCCATGACGGGCTGCCCTGCAGACAGAATTCTGCCTGCAGAATGCTGCTGTGCCCTCCCCAGAGGCCCCCAAAAGCTGTTTCCTGGGTGTGAATGTGTGTGTGCATGTGCGTGTGTATGTGTTTGTGTGTGTATTGGGGGTGTCATCAACTTTTAAATGAAGGATGCAACCGGGAAGTGGCACCTCATTTTTCTCCAGGCTGTATTCCTCCATCATCTTGTCCCCCTGCTCCTGGAAGGTGATGATGATCAAGGCCACAAAGATATTGACGAAGAAGAAGGGGAACACCACAAAGTAGACGACGTAGAAGATGGACATCTCCATGCGGTACCCGGGGCTGGGGCCCTGGTTCTCAAAGGTGGCATCCACGGAGTGCTTGAGGACCCTGTGAGGGATGGGGCGGGGAGAGGGGGAAAGTGGGACAGGTGACAGGAATGGAGGGAGATATTAAGAGAAAACAGCAAAGAAATGAGTAGTCGCTGTTTTCCGACTCCAATTACTGTGGTTACTTTATGAAGCCAGAAGCATTCCCACCTCCTTTGTCTCTGGGGGGTGTTGGCAACAGTGTCAGTTACCTTTACCGCTGCGTATGGAGGGTTATTAAGTGCTGGACATGATTTTATTTATTTTCTTGGCCACCCTCTCAGGGAGGTTATCACTGGCCCCCTTTTGCACATGAGGAAATTGAGGTTTAGCAATTTAAAGTGACTTCCTGAAGTTAGCCTACTAAGGCCTGGCCAAGTTGGGATGGGCAACCAGGTTGGGGGTGGTGGATGGGAGGGTGTATGGGGTCATAGAAGCAGATATGAGTGTGTGGGGGGGCATCTTAGCACAGCTGGTAGTGGGAGCTGAGAAGGGGTAGTGGGGATGAACGTGGGTGTATATGTGCATAGCTGCTCTGAACAGTTGCACAGATTGTGCACTGCTCAAGGGTTCTGCATCTAAGGGGTGCCATTCATACTGTAGACATGATAGATTTGTGTATTTATGATGACAACTTTTGGGCACGTGGCCATGAAGTACCTTATTTGAACAAAATCATTAAGTATATTGCAATGATTTTCTGACAGATGGAAGTGAAGTCTGTTGAGGAAGGCTGTCTAAAAAATTTGCTCAAAGGTGCCGTATGGGCTAGCACTGGCCCCATGTGAGTGGGTACTGAGTGTGCATGTGGGTGGGTGGAAAGGCACATGAGGGCTGGTGTGTTTCCTGAGAGCGGGAGGGAGGGAGGCGAGGATGCTGAGGGCACACACCGGAATCAACCTGAATTTCTGAGACCTCTGAGAGGAGGACCAGGACTAGGGTGAGGAGAGTAAAGCACTTGCCTTGGACACAAATTAAGGAGGTGCCAAGCCTCTCAGTCATCAAAAGAAATAGTATTTTACTGCAATATTTAAACAAATCACAACGAATGCCAAAAAAACAAAAACAACAAACCCACAAAAAAACCCATGACAAAAAATACCAACATTTTAAGCAAAGACAGGTCCGGCCCTGGTCTTGCGCACGATTCAGCCTCACCCCAGCCCTCACCCCATTCTGGGTGAGGAATGGTCCTGTGGTCAAAGGGACTTGGGAAATGCCACGTCCACACACTCTGGCCTTGGAGATCTGCACTCACTGGCACAGGAAGGGTTAAGAGGACATGACGGCCTGTGTCTGGGGAGCCTTTCTACAAATTAGAAGCACTGCCCGTTCCACACACAGGGTCTGGCGTACTGAGTCCAGTGAGGGCTGGGTTTTTGCCTCCAGGGCCCAGCCGCACTTGTAGGCTGTTGTTTGGGTGGCAGCTCCCCTCCCCCCGCCCGCTCCGTGTGCCTAGTGGGGTCTCCACCTCGGGAAGCCAGGAGCCAGCCTCTCTTCAGCCAGGCCTTTCTCAGCACTGGGCTCTGAGATCCTTCCCCACCCTGCTCCCTGGGGCCCCCCGACTCTTCCGTGGGACTCTGTGGCGGGCCACTCACTGTGGCCAGCCTTCTCCTGTGGACACAGTGAAGAGGGTCAACAAAGCCCACAGCACGTTGTCATAATGGAACTCATATTTCTTCCACTGTCTGTCCCGTGCCTTCACCTCGTTCTTCTCGTAGAGGAGGTACTTGCCGCTGCCACAGAAAATGTGGGCCATTAGTAAACAGAAGAAGGGGACACTCATCTTCGGCAGGAGGAAGAGGAAGAGGGGCCCACCAGCCCACGTTGCATCCCTAAGCCCAGGAAGCAGCGGCCCCTGATGCATCTCCCTGACGTATGTGTCCATCTGCTCGGAGACAAATCCTCACCCGAGAGCCGACTCAGGACCGAGCACTCTCTTCCAACACGAAAACTTCTAGTCCTGCGGGTGGGAGCCTCAGGCTTGGGGGTGGGGGATGGGTTGAGAGCAGGGAGAGAGATAGGCACACCTCTGGGTTCATCAGGCCAGAGGGGGCAGCTGCGGCTCCTTTTCAGGGCAGGACACAAGGCTTAGCCCCAGACACACGAGGCCAAGCGTCTGGGGTCCTTCCAATGTCAGGACATAGCCACCAAAATAACAGGCTGCCATTCTCTGCATAGTAACGCTTTACACCAGCGAGAGTGTTTACAGGGCGCTTAGTTAAGGGCTTAGCAATTTCTATCACGGGGATGACCCCAAGAGGGGGAGACTGCAGGCCCACAACTTCTCCTCCACGGCTCCAAACTCTAGAAAGTTCCGAAAACCAAACATCTTTCTCTTAAGTCAGGGGGTGGCAAGTTACGGCCCGCAGACCAAATTTGCACTTGTTTTCTGTATGGCCCACAAACTAAGAACAGTTTTCTACATTTTTAAGTGGTAGGAAACAAATCAAAAGAATGCGTTTGTGACCACTTACATTTGTCTGACATTCAAATTTTCATTTCTAGAAATAAGAACACAGTCACACCCATTTGTCTCCGTGCTGTCTGGCTGCTCTGCATTAGGACGGGAGCAGAGACGAGCTGTTACAGAGGCTGCGGGCCCCATAAAGGCCAAAGTTCATAGGACCTGGCCTTTGGCAGACAAAGTTTTCCACCTCTGATCTAATTCGTTTGGCAACGAAACCTGACCCGACTGGACATGAGGCTCTTCACACTTGTCATTTGTCCCATTCGGTGCAAACAGTTGCATGTTTACCAGCAAAAAACCAAAACGAAACAAAACAAAACCGGTTTGGTTACAGGGATGCCTTAGACCCAGCTGAGGGTGTGACTGACGTCCTATGTGGAACACGTGCTATATGATCTTTCTAAAATCGCAAGATTTTCTGACTTTTGAAACGCATCAGCCAGTAAAGGTTTTCCAATAAGGGAACGTGGATGTGTATGAATATCCCCCACTTGACAAAGGTGGGGATGGAAGTGATGCACGGCAACTCAAACACCAAAACTTTTTCTTCCTATTCTGGCCCCAAGCTGGTTGCACCTGGGTCGCATCCAGGGCCCAACACTCCAGCTTCCAAGCCCAGTGGCACTTCTGCTCCCCACCCCCAGCCCCCACGGGGACACAGAGGAGAGCAGAGACCCACCGGCAGTCTTTCTCGAACTCCTTGGACTCGTCGGTGCAGTGGAAAAACTTCCCCTTGAAGAGTTGCACGGCCACGACAGCAAAGATGAACATGAACAGCATGTAGACGATGAGGATGTTGAAGACATTCTTGAGTGAGTTCACCACACAGTCGAACACGGCCTGGGGGGGCAGAGTGGAGAGAGGGCATGAGGGGCTGGGGACACAACCAACGTGTTGCCAATTTTCCAACGTTCCATCTCATGGACAAGGTCTTTCCTGTTGATTCTGTGTCCCTGCCCCCCTCCCTCCCCCCCTTCCCCTCCATCTGGAGTTGTGCTCTTCCTCCCTTCTGCCCACTGAGCAGTAGGGGACGCTCTGGCTTTGAGAGGCAATGTCACGGGCCTGGGAGAGATGGCATCTTTCCACCATTTCCCAAGGAAGGCAGGGGTCCCGCCTGCAATGTCTCCCACCCTGTTCTGCTTCTAACCATGGTGGGTCCTAACCACCAGTGGGTAAGGGTCCTCAAACCCACTGTAATTACAGGCCAGCTTTCCCCGGGGGAGAGGGTGTGCAGTTTTCTCGGGGGCTTGGGAAGGGGGCCACCACCCAGAAAAGGGTGAGGAACCGCAGCACTGGATACGGCTGGACGTCCACGTATTTCAGCGCAAGCAAGCTTTCACGTCCAAAGGGCAGCCACATATCGGCGAGCGACAGTGCCAAAGTCATGGGGGAGGGGCACACCGAGGCGACAGAGGATGTTCCTTCAGGTCCTGCAGGAGCCCAACACTAAGTAGTGCTGAATCGCATGGTAACAAAGTTACTCACTTTCCACTTTTCCCTTCAATCCTTTTGAGTGAAGGAGAAGGTCTTGCTTTGTTGCTACTCTGTTAACACCTAACCCTGATACTTTTCCTTTTCAACCCGGGAAGAGCAAGCAACCAAGTCCAAAGGCTTTTTCAGGCAATCTTTTTGGCTAGATTTTCATAACGGTGTCTTATTTTGGGGGAATGTATTTAGTTTTCCCTTCTATTAACATTGGGTTCTGGTTTTCCAACTTGAGAACCTTGGCATAGAATTTCCTCTTAAAATATGCTCATTTAAATAAAAAAAGTGATGACTTTAACCTTAAGTAGGAGATAATACAGGTGGCTCTCAGGTGAAACATCAGTTGAAAAGGTGTGTTTGAATGACTAAGTTGCATTTCCTTTCTTTTCTCCTGTTTCTCCTGAATGACAAGCTTTGGGAAATGCTGGTTCATACTATTTTGGAACAGGAGATAATGGAGCCTAGAACAGGTTGGTGAAAAGTCAAAAGTTATGTGGGAGCAGAAACCTAGTTTCCTGCTTCCCACATTACGGTTGTGCCCGATTTTATCCATATGATGTCCTCCTGTGAATTAGGAAAAGGAAGCCCCACCTTAAGACATTTCATCTAATGGAAAACTGTCATAATACACAGATTTTGTTAAGTCGATTCACTTTACTGCCATCTGCTGGAAAGTTGTAATAATAACTATATCCATATACGACGGATGTGATGTTATCAGCTCCCCTTTCAATGTAGTGTCCTTGAGCAGTGTGCAACCTGCCCAATTGTATATGGCAACCCTCACAGGCCTCCCACATGCCCCAATCTCACCTTGAGCTTTGGCAACCGCTTGATGGTTTTAAGAGGTCGTAGCACCCGGAGGACTCGGAGGGATTTAATAGTGTTGATGTCCTTTCCTTTGCTATTGCCACTGTGGAGGGATGTTAGGGTGCAGAGAGGGGAAGAGAGGAAGCAGAAGTCAGTCTGGGTGGTGGGTGGCCCACAACTCCATGTGACCCCACCCTTTCAGGCCTAGGAGTCTGGGGGGAAGCGTGGCACAGTCCTGCCCTTGCTGGGGAAGAGTGGTGAGCACCCCTGCTAGGTGTGAGCTCAAGAGGTAGTCAGCAGATGGCCTTCTGTGATTCTGGTCTCAGGATTTGTTAAGGTCCTCCACCACTTGGCCAGGCCAGACCCAGCAGAGGGGAGCTGGCTGCCCCTGGACGCTCACTGGAGGTGGTCTTGGTGAGCTCTTAGAAAATGTGATTCCTTGTCCCGCTTCCAACAGGATTCAGGAAATACTTAACATGGCTCTCCCCCAGTATTCCCTGAGCCCACACGAAAGGAAAGAAGCAGGACATCAGATGTCGATGTTGAACCTCTGCCAGGGTCCCTTAGCCCGTCTTTCCAGAGAGCTGCAGAGAGGTTCAGTCCAGGGTCCACTGGACCTGAGCCTTCACTGTACGGCCCCTGCAGATCCCTTGCTACCCTTAGCCAACCATGATTCAGGTCCCCCAAGAAGAGGGCTTTGGGTGCAGCCATCAAAGGCTTGTGGTTAATAGAACTCATCACCCACCCAGTTGCCCAAGTCAGAACCCAAGTGTCACATTCAGCTTCCTGTCCTCCATCCACAATGGGTTATTCCCCTAACATCTCCATCATCGTCCCCGGCCACCATCTTATGCTGGACTCCCGTTACCCATTTCCCAGCTCCCCGCCACTCCCTGTCTCTCTTTCCTTCGATCTTTTCAGCACATAGTGTTCAAAGCCAATGACCATATCGCTCTCCTTCTCAGAATCCTTCTGGAGCATCTGAATTCCTAGAAGTGCGAACTTCGGGCATGGCACTCAAGGCTCTTGGAAATCTAGCCCAACTTACCTTTACCTTTGCGTTCCCATCGACTGCAACACACCCCAAACCCCAGCCACACTCTTTTGTCTCCCTCTGCTTTTGCACATACTGTTCCTGCTGCCAGAAATGCCCTTCCTCCACCTCTCCATTCACAGGACCACACAGCCCCCAAAGCCAAGTTAGAGGCTCCTTTATCTGACAGCCTTCCCTGATTGCCGCTGGGTTTTACGAGACCCTACTGCTGTTCCACGGTCATCTTTGTTTCAGTCTTTGGCTTCGGGCTTTAGCCAGAAAACCCTTCAAAGGCTTAAAATGTGATTTATTCTTCTACGTGTCCATTTTCCCTTTTAATCTTGGTTCTTGCCCCCACCATGCCCCTGGCGTGTGGTCTCAGGATGCACGTGAATGGATTCAGATCAGAGTTCTTTGAGAGTCTCCCAGCAAACATGTCCCTCTGGTTACCTCGTGGATCATATGGAGAGCTATCCCAGGGACCCCCACCATGGGTGTCTGGGTATCTGGGCACAAAAACATCCTTTCTTATAGATCTCCTTTCTCTCATTTTTTCGGGGAATAAAGAGGGGAACTGAACGTTATTCTGCAGAGCACAGCTGTGCTCTGGGATTCGGCTGGAACATGTTTTTCCCCTTTTAAAGCCAAAGTCATCACTGTTATCTCAAGGCTGTGCCCCTGAAGTAGGCAACACACATCAAGAGAGTCACTGAGATAATGTGAGGCCGAACAGGGACACAATTAAATAATTGGACCCCACAGGGAAACTAGCTATTTCTTCTTCAAGCATCTTTCAGGCCTTTTGCTTCGGTAAGAGTGGAAGGTCTCCGAGATGTGCTAGGAGGTCACTCATTTCTCTGGAATTCCTAGAACCCAGCTTGAATGTGACAAGCCACAATGCCACTGTTTCACGCCTGTGGGATTCACCTTTCCAGCTGTGGTTCTCTCTGAGGCTAACAATACCGGTTGTAAGGGGACGGCCCAGTTTCCCAGCAAAACTGAAGCAGTTTAGACTACGTGTTGGTGGAGAAAATGTCAAGCAGGTGGACATCTAGGTTGTATGTGGAACCAGCTACAATCTTGAGGTGCTGAATGGCTGACATTTGGAAACATGCCTCCCATGGGCCATCCACTCCTCTGAAAAGGACTCCCTGGCCTCCCCCTGTGGGGCTCTCTCCCCCAGGAGGTACCTTGCCCTTGGACAAGGCTGAGAAACAGTCTTGTTTATTGAGGCAGTGAGGAGTGTTCCTGGCAGTTTGGGTCCTGAGCTTGCAGGAATGGCTTGATCAAGGTGCTCTCACAGAAAACAACCCCACTTTGAACCACTTTGCTGAAAGTGTAGATGCTCCTTGGGAGGCTAATTTCTCCTTTTAGAGCCCAAGTCCTGGTTGTGTGGCTTGTCCACCCTTCTCCCATCTCGGAGTCTGGACACGCTTACCCCTCTGGGAACCACCCCACCAGGCTCGTCTGCCTTGTTGAAATTAGACCCTGGAGAGGCCCCGCTCCCCCATGTCCTTTCTGTTCTCTGCCAAGAACTGGACTGATGGTGGATCATGGAGGGAGGCAGTGGCTAAGGCCCCTTAGGGCTCCTCCTCCCGGGGGAGAGACTGAGGGGGGCTCTGGTCACTGCAAGCCACGGATGGCAGCAAAAACACAAGGCCATGGAAACAGGCCCAGAGCCAACACAGCTGCACCAGGGCACAGAGAACGAGAGACAAAATGAGAGAGAGAGAGAGAGAGAGAGAAAACTTTACCGTGTACTGCTCCTGGTGAGGTGGCGTCGGAGGGAGAGACAGATCGTAAGCGGCCTCAGAAGAAAGAACACAGAACACACACACACACACACACACACACCTGAGTGCCCCCTGCCCCGCCCGGGCACCAGGAGGGGCAGCCTCAGGCTTGCAGCTCTGGCCGACATCCATCCTTCCATCTGGAAGCCCCCCGTTTGGTCCCCTGCCCTCTGCAGGCTCCTGGCAGCACCAAGAAAGCCAAATTTCCAAGTAGCAGCACAACCAGAAAGTTGTCAGTGACCAAAGGCGAATTTGTCACTGAAGGTCACTGCCAAGAGCTAGAGAAACCCCTTTTCTCCAGAGGTTCTGGGGCTGGAAGGTCTTAGAATGGCTTGGAAGTTGTGAGCTTTGGAGTCAGGGAGGGGCACCGGGGTTTGAATCCCAGCTCTGCCCCTAATTGTCGTCCTCATCTGTAAAACAGACCTTGGAGATTCTGACGCTTGACACATGGTAGCTACAGCCTTGGCTTTACCCCCTAAGGTATGAAGAAGAGGGAGGTCAGCGAAGAGTTCCAATTTAGGGTGTGGTCAGAGGCAGCTCTTGGGAGTCCTGAGATAATGCTCTCAGCATCTGGCTCAGCCCTCGCACAGCTCATCTTTGGAATCAGGCTCGGTCTCATGACAACTCTCCAACCATGGCTGGAGGTCAAGGCCGGAGGAACCCAACTGTCATCAGAAACCTGGCTGCCAGGCAGGTCTTCTCCGGAACTTCCTACTTGCTGCCTCTTTCAAAGTTAGTGATATTTCTTTCTTTTCAATATTTTACTCAAAGTTAGTGGTATTTCTAAAAACAGAATGGTTTAAATGTCTACAAATATTCTGCTGGATTCCCCACCCTCCACCTTTTAATTTCATCTTCGTGGTTCTCAAAGCTCAATGTATCTAGGACTTATCACATACGTAGAATCATGTAGGTTCTCCTCTGTGGATTATTGACCGATCTTTTAATGACAGTGATTTCTGCCTGACCTGCTGGCTTTAGGTGTAAAATGTGAGCTTTCTGAATGTCACTACGTTTGCCTGCGGGAAGGTGGCACCATCTCGCCTGTTTTCCGGATGAGGAAGCTGAGGCCCAGAGAGGGAGAGTGCCTTGCCCAAGGTCACACAGCTAGGAAGTGGCAGACTGAGATTCAAACCCCAGTTTGTGTATCTTGCACTCAAATCTTCTTTCCCATTTTATCCCACACAAGAAAAATAATGCCTTCGGTGCAGGGGCCGGGTTGAGGATGGGATTAAAAATGTGGCAGCCTGAGGGCTCCTTCTTGGGCTTCCTCGCAGTTCGGCTCCTGAGCATGCAAGAGAGGCTTGATCAAGGCGTTCCGTCAGCTGTACTGGCCTGCCTTCAGGGAGGAGTGGCTGCGCCAGATGGATTCTTGGCAGTGAGGGCAGGATCACGACCCGCCAGAGGCTGAGACGTGTCCGTTGGCCGCCCCGATGCATGGGCACAGAGCGTGATATCATGTGTGATGGCTCATGAGATGGTGTGTTAATGGTGCTCGCGTGGACACGGCACACAGTCAGCGGAAGGAGCAGGACACACACACACACACACAGATTCGGGTGAAGTGCAGGAGGGGTGGAAACTGTCAGCAGAGCTTCGACACATCCCTTGGAGGACCACAGGGATAGTTTTCCTACATCTGAGACGGGGCCACGATCACAGCACTGTGGCAGAATCCTTGCCTCCACCCCAAAAGGCCAGAACAGCAAGATTCCTTTCAACGAAGAAGGGAGCAGCCTCATGCCCCCTTCTGCCCAGCTTTCGAGGAACCCGGGCTGGCTAAGCTGTCAAGTGTCCTTCTGCTGATTAGTGAAAGCTTCCACGTTCACGGCTGGGAGATGGGCAGCAACCTTGAATCTGTCGGTCAAGCCTCACCTTAGTGATCCTGCCAGACTCTCCTCTGGGCCTCAGTTTCCTCATCTACAGAAAGGGAACAACGAGACAACTTCCCACAGGAGGTTGCTGGTGGGGATTAAATATATGGAAGCTGTGACTGTTACTACCCAGTCAAGTTTTTCGGCTTTATGGGGAAACTGAGGCACAGAGCCGCTAAGGTACGTGCATATAAGAGACAAACCAGATAGACTTGCAGGAGCCTCTTTCTAAAGCAATAACACTAATCTAACACCCTTTGGGGTTCTCAGCCCTGTCTATGAGGAGATGGGCACAGGACTGATAAATCGAGCTAAAGGACCAGAAAGGAAAGAAGCAAAGGACTCTGGGGTTGGGCACTCAGGCCGAGACCCTCAGAGAATCCCCCACTCCTGCCAAAGCGACATCCATGTAGTAACAAGAAAAGACAGTAAGTAAAGTCCTTATAGGGCGAGAAATGTTCTCAGGCAAAAGAGGCCAGAAACCTGCAGCCAGGGGGTGGGATTCTGAGACATTTTTGGGGGGAAAAGTAACAGCCTGAGGGCTCCTTCTCTGGCTTTTGGGCAGATTTAGCACTGGGCATGCAGGAGCGGCTTGATCAAGGTGCCTGGCCAGTTGTGCCAAGACTGCAGCCCTGCCTTGGAAGAGAGTTGGCAGCACCAGATGGATTTTTTGCAACAAGGGAGGGAGGGTGTGGCAGGGGGAGCCTCAGGGTCTACTTCTCCTATCCCTATGATCATCATATAAAGGCACCCTCATGGCTGTCAGCTCTTCTAAAACCACTTGAGAGCTGCTAGCACTTGTCAGGATCCCACTGGCAAAATCTCCCCCACCCCCCGCCCAGTTCCTGTGAGATCTACAAGCCCACTGAGGCTTAGAGGATGTCCTTAAATCCCAATCCAGACTTTTTCCTTGCATAGGAATTAAAAAAAAAACCAAAAACCCAAAATATTCAAAACAGGGATTTTCAAGGTCATGGGCTGGCTGGCTTTATGCCTGTAGCAACTTCATAGAAGCAGTTTAAAAGATTGACTACAAATATGCTGCCAAATTTCTGTGAGTTGTAGGCTCATTTTGAATGCCCTTGTATAACTTCATATATAAAATGAAAATTAAAAAAAAAAAATCAGCTCCCTCTAGCAGATTCTTTTGCAACACAAAGAATCATTCTGCTGATAGATTTTTGGTGGAAAAATAATTTTGCTTTTGCAAAGTGTTTGCTTAAAGTAGAACCTAATTGTAGCTCCAGGGATCCTAGAAACAGCATATTGTAAACTATAGCTCATTATAGCAAAAGTTCTCTGGTTGAAAGCCCCAAGTCTTTGGACCGCCACCCCTTCTCCAAATTGTGAGGTCAAATTGGGGGACAGAGGTGAGGCAGGGCAACAGTGGGGGCCCCCTCCTTGTCACTGAAGCATGTTCGCTCCGACAGAGGTCTGGGAGGAAAGTGCCAAGGCCAAGGGTGAGCTGATGGGCTTCGGTCATCCCTTCTTTTGTTCTACACCCAGTGGTGGCCACGGAGGTAAAAACCCACCACCCCAGGCACAGCGGGCAAAGGAGTGGTTGTGTGTGGACGGATGGATGTGGCTGTCAGGGTCCCCCTGACCCGTCACCTCCTGAGCTCTAGGAGACTTGGGGGGCTGCTGGGAGGACATCGTCTTGGAAGGCCCGAGGCAGTATGAGCTTGCCCTCCCTTGTTGCAGAGACCGTCCCTGGTCAGAACATGGGGGAGCCTGGGTCTCCTGATGCCAGAGCGCATGGGGAAGTGCCCTCTTTCTCTAGGCCCCGCAGGTTAGGTAGATGGTCAGGCCCACAGGGCCAGGATCAGAGGAAGGAGAGAGAGAAAGAGGGAGAGCGGGGAGAGCAGAGAGGACATGAACCAGATAGAGGGACAGAGACAGAGAGAGACACACACACGTGCTGGGGCGGGCTGGGTGGGCAAGGAGAAACAGAGAGACACAGAAGGTGATAAACAGAAAAGAGAAAATGCGGGGTTGGGGGAAAAGGAGGGAGACACACGGAAAGAGAGAGGGAAGGAGGGAGGGGAGAAACAGAGGAGGAGAAAGAGCCAAGAGGCTGTCAGAGGGAAGAAGAGAAAAAAGGGGAAAGAGAAAGAAGGAGAAAGAAACAGGAACAAGGGAGGGAAGGGAATTTGGGACGGAAACAGAGACAGACAGCACGTAGATAATTTCCACAGGGGATGGATTCACTCCAGGCTGAGGGTGGTAAAGCGTTTTGGCTCTTCAGAGTTGAAATTTTCTCAGGACCTAGCATGGTGCCTACCAGACACCTTGTAGGAGTTGCTCAAATAGCTGATGGAGGGAGGGAGGAGCATATTTCATGACATTCTCATATACACTTTAAAAATCTTTTTGGAAGAAACTGGTGCTATCTTGGTAGGAAACAAATTGTAACTTATTTGTATTTGACATTTCTCTGAATTCCAAGGAGGCTGATTTTTTAATTTTTATTTTTATTAGTTGTCAGCATTCTGCAAAATTTCGTTTACATCCCTTGTCCATTTATCTAATGAGTTTCATGTTTCTTATTGATTTGTAATTGCTTTTTATATATGAAAGCCAACAATTCTTTGTCTTATTTGTGGCAATCTTTCTCCTCTAATTCACTGTGCACTTTACTTATTTTTTTGAAACTTCAGAATATGTTAATAACATTGCCCAAATTTTTTTTTTACAATGTTTTCCATTGCTCTAATACTTAAATAAATACTCAATCATTTAAAAAAGGGTAAGAGAGAGGGAGCGGGAGGAGGAAGGAGTGAGGAAGAAGGAGAAAGAAAGGAGACAAGGTAGAAGGAGAGCAGACATAGAAAGAGGAAAAGAAAGTAGAAGGTAAAGGGAAAGGGGGGGGGTGGGAAGTCTGGCCAGAGTCAGAAGTACAATCAGCCTCCTGACCCTCATGGTACCTCTCCACCAGCTTGGAGGCATCCAGAACCCTGGAGCTTTCTGGCTGTTCTGACACAACTTGACCTCATTGTGTTCCCAGAGAAGATCCGAGAGTGGCCCATGTTAGTCCTTAAGTTGGAAATGAGCCACCACTCTGGCCTCCTGACAAACCAAGTCTTTGTTATTTGGTTGGGGGGCCATTCAAGAACCCCTGAAGATCTACTGAGAAGGAAGCTAGGGGGTAGAGGCACAAAGGAAACTTCTGATTTCTCACTATGGGGGTGAGGTGGGTCAGAGTCCCTCTGAGACTTTCCTTTCCGGGAATGATCCACGGTGGTGGGCACAGACAGGGTCCCCAAGATTTGTTTCTGGATTAGGAGCTGGTTAGGTCTTCTCAACCTGCTTCAAACATCTATAACTTGAGGAATGTACTGCTGAGTTTGCTATCAAGGCCCTAAGATCTAGTGGCTGCCCAGCCCTTGGGTACCATCTTGAAATGCTGTCCAGAACTTAGGTGCCATCTTGGAACGGGTCCCCACAATTTGGGTGCCATCTTGGACAGAATGGCTGCTCAGCCCTTGGGTGCCATTCTGGAATGGCTCCCCACAACCCAGGTGCCATCTTGGACTTGCACAATGATGCATGGCTTTTCAGGAGGCAGAGAGTCCTAGGACTGCCAGAAGTAAAAGACACACAAAGGGAGTCACAGGTCTGCAACTACAGGGCCTTCAGGCACAGGGTGGGGGTCTGAATTCTCATGCACATTCATTTCCTGGTTTTCTTTTTAGGGGGCTCTCAGAGAGACAGTGGTTGGGGTGCAGCTTGTAGAGCAGAAGGAAGATGAGATGTCCCGGCGGGGCTATTCTAGTGAAAGCAGCAGAGCAAGGGGTCAGTGAGGCGGCTGTATGAGGAGGTAGAAGGTGGGGTCCCTTCTCCTTCTTCCTCCACAGTGGACGTCATGCAAAAGCCAGTCGAAGCTCTTCCTGGAGGCATGCGGATGTCTCCCACCTTCCAGAGCCCACTCTCCCCATCTCTACGCCCTGAGAACACATTCCCTGATCCAGTGGGCAGCCCCACGCAGGGGGCGGGGGACAAAGAGGCAAGTAGAAGCCTCAGGAGGAGACTTACGTGAAGGCAAAGGCCACCAGGGCCCCACTGACCACTATGAAGTCGAGAATGTTCCAGAGGTCACGGAAGTAGGCACCCTGGTGCAGGACGAGCCCCAGGTCGATCATCTAGGGTCGAGAAGAGATGGTGCTCAGACCCCTCATCCCACCTTGGGGATCGACACCCACCTTTCCAGTCTCTGGGGGGGGGGAGGGACACCAAGAGGGGACATGGTGAGGGATGGGACTGTAGCCGGAGGTCCTGGGGGAGTCCTGGGGAGTACCTCCCCACCTCCTGAGAGGCAGTTCTGACTTGCTGGTTCTTAGGTCCAAACCTCGGGGTCCCCCTTGACTCCTCTTTGTCTCATTCCCCACATGGAATCCATCGGCAAACCTTCCAAGAATCTGCCCACCTTCTCCAAAACCACCCTTCTCCAACGCCCCCCATCATCCTCTGCCTGGACCAGTACGATCGCCACCCACTCCTAGTTCTCTTGGCTCCCACCCGCCCTGCCCCTCCCTCAAGTCTGTCCTCCCCGAGGCCAGAGGGTGCCCGTGGGAATGGGCATGAGTCAAGCCACTCCTCTGCTCAGAACCTTCCATGGCTCCCACCTCACTTGGGGCAAAAGTCAAAGTCCTCCCTGTGGCCCACAAGGCCCTGCAGGATCTGTCCCTGTCACTTCCCTGCTCTCATCTCCCTGCCCTGGTTTCCCCATTCTCCTCATTCACTCCTTGCAGTCCTTGCTGCTGCTCCAACACACCAAGCATTTCTAATCCCCCGGGCAAGACACTTGTGCCAGGGTGGCATTCTTGAGGGTGAAGATTCCCTTGGATCCCTGGCTCTCTCAGCACTCACCTTGATCACCATCTCAAAGGTAAAGACGCCTGTAAAAACGTAGTCAAAATATCGCAGCACCTGTAGGGGATAAAAGCAAGGGGGCAGCAGATCACTGGCTTGCTCCAGCAGAGTCCGCATGAACCTAGTGATTGCCCACTGGGGTGTGTGGTCTCCAGCAAAGTCCCCGAGGAACACACTTTCCCAAACAGAGAAAACACGGCTGCCGCACACAGTTGGGCAGGATGTGCACTGCCCAAGGGCCCCTCCCATCCTGTCTGAGAGTACAGATTTGTATGTTGTGTATGAAACTGTCCAGCAGATGGCAGCAAAATCCTAACAAAATCACTCAGGACGGTCGGCTTACCAGTGGGAAGGGTTTCTTTCTTATTTGCCCAAAGCTCAAATATAAAGTAAAGGTGGTCTTGGGGAAGTTCGGGGAGGGCTGCATCCCTGTTGGCGATGAGTCTGACCTCCCAATGCCCTTGACCTGTTGGGCCTCCTAGGTGAGAAATCAGAGGGTCTCCTAAACAGGACCAACCGTCTAAGTCAGACCCTGGGGGTCAAACTCATCACTGTGGTCTCCCACCCAGCTCTGCGGCCACATCCTCACCATGGTGGGGTGGTTCTCCCCGCACCCCCCGCCTTACACGGGGCCAGGGCCAGGTGGTTTCTGCCTGGATGAGCACCGGTCTGCAGCCCGGCCCCTCCCAGGCCACGTCATGGCACGTCTCTGGTGTGACCTTCGTGTGAGGATGTGATGGCACAGTGTCGGGCAGGTGGCGAATGCAGGGGGCGGACTCAATCAGATTCACGTTAGAAAAGAGCTGATATTTACTGAGCCCCACCACCAGAGGGCGCCAGTGAGCACCTGAGCCGGGTTCGGGACCTTCTCTGCTCTAGAATCCTCTGTGGCTCTGATCCCACTTGACGTAAAAGCCATAGTCCTCTTGTGGCCCCCGCCTCCACCCCCGAGGCCCCGAGCACTCTGCCAGGTCATCTCTATGACCTCACCTCCTCTCACTCCCCCTTGCTCTCTCTGCTCCTGCCACCCTGTCTTCACCTCAGGGCCTTTGCACAGGAGGCTACTTCTGCCTGGAACGCTCCTCCCCACATCCCACCAGATTCCCTCTCTCTCCTCCTTTATGGCTTGGCTCATATATCACTTTCTCAGTGCCGACTTCCCCTGCCCCCTGTTTCAATCCTACTTACTTCCTGGTGCTTGTGACTTCCCTTACCAAGTCTACCACCCACCCTTGCAAATTATTTGTTATAATTTGTTAGAGTTATTAGTAATCTCATTAGTGACCTGCCCGACGTCAGCCCCATGAAGGCATGGATGTTTGGCTGTCTCTGTAGCATCTCCGGCTCAATATCCAGGCCCAAGCATACAGCTGGCACTCAAGAAATGTTTGTTGAGTGAATGCATGAGTAGCTGGAACTGTACTGGGTCCTGTGGGCAGTGGGCTCTGTGATCTGTGTGGTCGCAACTCACATTCCCGTTATGTGTGGTGCAAGAAGGGCCAGCACGGACCAGAGCGGCCAGGATGGCTGGCTTCCTGAGGTGGGGCGACAGGTGCAAGGGGCTGGAAGTATCTGGGTGCAGAGGAAGCATTTCAGGCGCACTGGGTGGAGGGTCCAGCATGGCCCAGGACCTGGTGCTCTGTGAGCTCCGGGAAGGCAGCGACCATCTCATACCCTGTCAGTCCTTGACGCTTAGCTCTGTGCTTGGCACATGCTGGTTGCTCACTTAGTAATAACTAAACAAAGCAATGAATGAAAAGCCGAGAGGAGAAACCGGAAGGCAGGGAGTGGGGGAAGGGCAGGCCAGGTGGTCAGGGGAATCTCATTCTGGAGAACTGAAGGAATTAGATCAGGCAAGAGGAAATCAAGAGACCAACAAATTAGGTTTGACTGTATCGAATATGGAGATCCTCTGACCTCTACGCATGACAATTTCCTGTGGCTCGGTTTAATCCAACAATGTTCTCAGACTCATTTTTGCCGGGGAAATGCAGATCGGAGTCGCAGAAAGATTCCGCTCCATACCCACCAGGTCTGCCAAGCGTGAGAGTCTCCAGCACCAAGTGTTGACAAGCCCGTGGGGCAGCGGGAGACCCCTACGCTGCTCACACCAGTGTGATTGCATCATCCCGCAAACGCCCGGCCGCATCTAGCAAGCCTGACCGCGTGCAAATTCTCTGATCCAGAAACTTCGTTTATGGTTTTCTACCCTGGAGAAAATCATGCCCACGCATCCCCTCAGCCTGGGCACCGCAGCGCCACCCCCACCAGCCAGCGACTGAGTCTTCTCCCATCTCCTAGAGTCGGCAGGGGGTTTGCTGACCCCTCTCGGGCCGCCCCTTCCCGGGCCTAGCTCCCTGCCGTCCCTGGGATAGAGCGGGCAGCAGGAGATACCAGAGCACAGCCCCAGCCCTGCCCTGGTACAAGTTTCTTCTGGGAGCCTTGTTCTAATTATTTCCTTCCGACTCCCCCATCGGGTCCCCAGGGGCCCTGCCAGGCCTGCAGAGGAAGGGAAAGTGCAAGGTAAGCTGCTGTCGGGCATGCTTGATTTATGGGGCTTGGCAGCCTCGCCAGGCTCCTAACCTATTTAGCGAGGGTGGCAGGGCCTGGCTCCCAGCGGACAATGTCCCTTTGGCTCTGGGCAGGGGGGGCAGCGATGGGGGGCAGGAAGGAGCTGGGGCAGGGGCTGCTGCTGCCAGTCCAGAATCTGCCACGCCCCCGTCTGTCCCCCCTCTCAACCACAGGCACACACTCATTCTCACTTGGCAGGACTCAAGGGGAGCCGTGCACACAGTAGGTGCTCAATAAAAAGAGATGGTTGAAGGAAGCAGCGGGAGCCCTAGGGGCGGCAGAGTTGGAATTGTGCTGTGTGATCTTGATCGGGTCACTTAGCCTTCCTGAGCCTCAGTTTCCCCATCTGTCACACGTGGGCATACCTGGGAGAGCTTACATGCCAAGTGCCTGGGGTTGTGCCTGGAATACAGCAAGCACTCAATTAACAGGATCCACTCACAGACCCTGGACCCCTAAAGGGAGAGCTTTTTAGCTCTCCAGAAAGCTCAAAGTGTAGGCTGGGTTCCTGAGTCAAAACAGTCCTTTCTTTCGAAGCTCATGTCCAAACCCAGAAGTCTGGCTGGTGAGACCTGGCTGCCGAGGGGATTGGCTGTGGGGCCCCGGGCCTGAGTCCTTCCTACCTGCCGTGCACAGCGTGCGTCCCTGCATATAATGCCAGCCTCACTCCCTCTCCCAGGGATTCCAGCAATTTCTAGCCCCACCCGTTGGAGGCCACCTTTTCCCCCGCCAAGTGCACAGAGCCATTGCCTCCTCAAGGAACAGCCTGCCCCAAGCACATCAGAACTTCCCCTCCCAATCAGCGGCTGTGCTGTGCCCAGGGCTGTGCCCAGGGCATACCCCTGACATGCCTTCCACCATGGCAGTCGGCTTTTAGGGTGCAGGACAAAGGAGCCTGTAACAGAGGAGCCCGGCCAGGAAGGGGCCTGTGGGGCGGGACTCACATTGTTTCGTGGTGCGTTGGGCTGCACGGGGTCCTCAGCCGCCAGGGCAATGCTGCTCATGGCGATGACCATGAGGATGCACATCTCAAAGTAGCGCAGATTCAGGATGTAATGGCACAGGCGGCGCAGGCTGTTGGGGACAGGTGGGTGTGCAGAGGTCCACTGAGACCGCGGGCTCACAAACGCTTTCCTTCTGTGATCTCCTTATGTCACCTACCACTCCCCGAGACCTCTAAGGCCCAAGGTCCCATGCCCAACAAAGTATCAAGATCCTCCATCTGGGGGCCCTCATGGGGGTCATGGAACCCCAAGAAGGTAGGGGGGCCCTCAGCCAGAGAAGATATTCACAGGCCCTGTTGTTAAGTTTCCTATCACTTCCAAACAACCCTCTTGGAAAATCGTGATTCCCAGACTGAGTTGAAGAAATATTATCCCTGACTCTGTAGGAGACGACAAGCTCTTCTTCTTTTTTTTTTAATTAATTGAGTGACCTTAGGCAAGTTACTTATCCCCTCTGTGCCTCAGTGCTTTCCTCCATGAAATGGCCATAATCACGGTGCCTACCTTACAAGAATGTGAAGATCAAAAATGTTAATATATGCCTGGCACATAGTAGGGGCTCCAGAAAGTTACTGAAGTTATAAATTGCAGGCCTTAGCAGAGCCTTTGATGTGGTAATGGGATAGTACATAAGTACCTAACCTCTTAAGTGGAGCTAATAGTATTTATGAACATGTCATAAAGTTGTGTGGATGGCAACAAGGCTGAGTGGTTAAGAACAGAGATGCTGGCATCGGTCTGTTTGGGCTCTCCCACTTGCCTGCTGTATGACCTTGGACAGGTAACGTCACCTCTCTGGGCCTCAGTTTCTTCATCTGTTAAATGGGCATAAGCATAGTACCAATCTCATAGGGTTATTATGAGAATTTTTTTTTTTTTTTAATTTGTAAAGCACTCACAACAGTGCCTGGCACTAAATACCACATAAATGTTTTCCTAGTAAAACCAAATAAAAAAGGAAGTGCATAAGAGACTCAAGAGTCTCAAGAGGAAGGTTATAGAAAGTAGTTACCGCCCAGTTTCTCTGACATGATTTTCCTTTGTCAGGAAGCATTTTGAGGGACCAGGGATTCAAGAAATATCCTTTGGAAAAATGCAATCCTTAAAGAAGCCACGGTGAGACACATGTAATAAATTTCTCTCTTAAATAATCTATCCTCCTCAAGGATGCCCAAGACAAAGGGCTATGGAACTCAGAGACCATCTGCCTAGGATCCAAATCCTTGTGGAGCAGAGGTTAGGAGCAAGAGCTCAGGGACCAGGGCCGCCATGTATGATTGTATAGGTTGCACACTGCATAAGGCAACCATTTCTTAGGGGTGCCTCTCACATTACAGATGGTGTAGATTTGAATATTTATGATAATGATTTCTAGCTGATGGCCAGAAGGGGTCTTTCCCCCCCAAATCAGTACTTTATGATAAATTTCTCTCTTACAGGACTTAAGAAAAGGGCATCATTTTTTTCATTTGCTCAAAAATCCCCTATGGCCTAATGGTGATCTTGGAGGCCACTCTCCCCGTTACCCTCTGTGTGGGCCTGCCCTCTGGCTTGACTTCCACCAACCCAGTGGGAGCCCCAGGCCCCCTGCCCTGGCCACAGGCCATACTCACGGGTTGGTCGTAGAGAGGATAAACATGGAGCTGTAGGGAGGCATGGGCTTGGGGCCGTCTTCCCCAGGGTCGTCTTCCTCCTCCTCCTTCTTCTCTTCTTCCTTTTTTGGCAGTGGGTCTGGGTTGGCGTTTTTGTTCACTGTGGGGACAAGAACCGACACAGGGCTCCCTCCATGATTTCCCATAAGCCTCTGGGCTCCCGTCTGCTCCCCAGAGCAGACAATAAGCAGCTGACGTTTATAAAGTGCCTACAATGCGCCAGGCACCACATTAGGCCATTTAGTACTCACATGACCCTGTGAGGTTGGTACTTTATGATCTCTACTTTACAGAGGATGAAACTAGCACAGAGAGGTGAAGCGACTTGCCTAAGGTCACACGGCTGGGATGTGGCAATGCTGGGATTTGAACCTGGTCCCAGAGTGCCTGCTCTCAACCACTCGATAGCCTTGAATCTGGTGGGATGTTCACAGGATGTTAACACAAACCTGCCCCCATCCCGCTGGATCTTCATACCATCACTTGGAGGCAGGTAGCATGAGGCCCGATAGACCCACTTCACAGATGGTAATACTAAGCTCTCCCTTTGTCAAACTGCAGGGTCTCCCCCCATGAATACCTCTCTCTTGATGGCAAGGGCCACTACCCTTCCAAGCATTAATTCTGCAGCCTAACCTTGCTATGTGTCTGTGGGCAGGCTGAGTTTCTCTGAGCCTCAGTATTTTCATCTATAAAATGGGCACAATGACAAGACCCACCTTATAGAACTGTGGTGAGTGTTTATCAAGCAGACTCACGGGAATCTCCTGCATAGAGCCGGCGCTAAAGAAACCGGGCTTTTGTTACCATCTTCAGGAATAACTAGCTCGGTGGGCCATTTCTAAATTCTCACTGCTTCTCTGACCCCAGTCTTACACGGTGGGGGGCTTGGAGGGAGGTCGCAAACTGCCAATCCCTCAAGGGCCTAGACCTGCACTGTCCACCACTTGAACAGTGGCTATTCCAAACCTCGATACGTTGTACGTGTAAAATACACCGAATTTCTAAGACACGGTACAAGACAAAGAACATAAAGTAGCTGTTTAATAACGTTAAAAATGTTGATTACACCTTGAAATGGTAGCATTTTGGATACAAATAAATAACACCTTGGGTTAAATGTGATTAAAGTTCATTTCACCTATTTCTTTTTCTTTCTTTTTTTTTTTTAAGGGGGTAGTGCAGAGAGGAGAGAGAATCCTAAGCGGGCTCCACTCCCAGGGCAGAGCCTGATGCGGGGCTCGATCTCACCACCCTGAGATCATGACCTGAGCTGAAATCAAGAGTCAGACGCTTAACTGACTGAGCCACCCAGGTGCCCCTCTTTTCTTAAATCACTCCTTCCTTCCTCCTTCTCTCCTTTTTTTCTTTCAATATGGCTACTGGAAAGTTTAAAACTACACACGTGGCCCATCTCGCATTTCTTTCGGACAGCGCTGGTCTGGGGAATCATCTGATGCCCCCTCGATTTCCATTAAAAGATCCACTGCTTGTCAAACACAGTGGCTTCCTGGCTTCCCTATGGGAATCTGGGATGCAGGCAATATCACTAAACCTCCTGAGGGGCCACGTGCCAGGCACTGCGGCATATTTTCTCATTTAACCCTCCCAGCAGTCCCATGGGGCAGGAAACCACATCTATACCCATTTTGAGAGGAAGAAACTGAGGCCAGAGAGAGGTAGGGTCACTGTGAAGGGTCACCCAGCCAAGCCTGCAAGGATTGGATCCAGGCAGCCCTGCTCACCCCGTTGGCCCCAGGGATACCGGGTGCCCCGCCCGGCGGCGGGGGTGGTGGGGGTCTCACCTTGGACGACGGTGTGGTTGAGGGGGGGCGGGCAGGCCGGGGGGATGTCCACCGTGGTGTGGTCGGGTTTCCTGGCAGTCTTTGCTGAGTTGGTCTGGGTGCTGCTGGGGTTGGTGACGATAAGGCTGTTTTCGGGGGTCTTGGGGGGGCCTGGGTCGGACGGGTCCCCCGGGTTGTTGGGCGTCCGGCGGCTGGCGGCGTTCTGGGGGTTGGTGGCTGCGGCAGGCGGGGCCAGTGCCGGGCCGGGGTCGGCGCTGTTCCCGGTCCTGGCGGGGCTCTGGGGCAGGCCGGGGCGGCCGAGGCTGTCGTGGGTGCCGGCCGACCCCGAGGTGGCCAGCTTGTTGTTCCTCATGTTGTCGATGTCCTCAGCCAGCGGCGGCTCTTGGCGGCCCAGGTCCTGCTGGATTGGCCGGGTGGTCGACAGGTTGGGGCCCGACACGGGGACCCCGGGGCCCTGGTTCTCTCTGCGGAAGGCAGGCCAATGAGAAAGGACCCATAACTGAGTTAGAATAACAGATCGAACGTTCTGGACCCTGCCTTGGCTTCCGCCCTTCAAGAGGGCACGCTTGGACCCGGAGAGGCCACGTCCCAGAGCTCCCCAGGGCCTGGCACAAGAGGGGCCCGGCTGACTCCTGCTCAGAGATCACCACCCCACGTAAGTGTAATGGCCCGGCCCCTTGGGTTTCAGTGTGGTGCTTCTCCTGCTGTTTCCCGGGGGACAAGGCTACTCCCATGGGGAGAAACCCGAGGGTAAAAGAACTTCCTGCCAGAGCCTACCTTCCTCCACCCCGAAGCTCCCTGCCTCTGCCTACAGGCCCCCCGGGAGCTCTTGGGCAGGACTGGGGCTCACATTGTTTTCAGGGGTGCTAAAGCAGACATGGGGCCACCATCTCTTTAGGGGTAGAACTGCCTCATGGCTTAGCGTGCCTGAGGTATTTATGTCCTCTCCCAACGTTCCAGTTAGGGGGAGCACGCAGAACATGCAAGTAAACATAATAAATAATAATAAACGTAATAACAGCTAATGCTTCAGTAACAAAGCTCTCAGTGCTGTTCTAAGCACTCGGCTTATAATAACCCCTTCATCCCCAGCCCCATGAGGAGCAATTACTAGCCCCGTTTTCCAGATGAGGACACTGAAGCTCAGAGAGGTGAAGTCTCTTATCTAAGGCCACGCAGCTGGCAAATGAACATGATAATTTTTCACGGGGATACAAGTGTGATGAGCATTCCAGGCAGAAGGAACAGCCAGTGCAAAGGTCCTGAAACGGGGACAAGCTTGTTGAGTTTCAGGAGGCTGGTGTGGCTGGAGGTGGAGAGTGGGGGAGACAAGCTGGGTAGGAGTTTGGTGCCTCAGCTACTCAAATGGTTAACACCATGCAGATGGACAGGAGAAGAAGAGTCTGAGTGTTTGGTGCAATTGGAGGGGAGAGAAAAATGTTAAGGGTCCTGGCTGGGCTTTTTCTACCCCAATGCCCTTTGGGACATTAGCTCTTCGAGGCAAGTGGTTAATTTTTGTCTTTCTTGTTCACTTCTGTGATTCCGGTGCCCAGAACGGGGCCTGACACATGGCAGAAGCTGTGGCCCCAGTGAGGGTGGCTGGGCTCTGGAGCCTGTCTGGTGCCTCCCGGCTGCACGTCCGTCCTCAGCTGGCCTCGGCTCTGCCTGCCTGTGCCAAGCGGACCTGGCTCCCAGTCAGCTCCCTGAGAGTTTGGTCCCCAAGTTTGCTCTGTTTGCTTTCAGATGCCCCTTTAAACCCTCGGTCCTCAGATGAGGGGCCTCATCCTTCCCTAGTTCCTGGGCGCTGTCCCCGGCAAGTCTGTTCCCTGGAAACCCTAGGATATTTGTGGTTTATAATCTCAACGACATCTCTCCCTGGAGGGCTTTGCAATCCGAAACTTATCTCTCGGGCTCTTCTTAAAGGCAACCCCAATTCTGCTTCCTCTGTCCTCCACTTCTGCTCATAATAGCTCACATGTACTGAGCACCTGCTGTGGGCCAGGCTACACACACCAGCTCTTCCAGTCCTCAGAATCATTGTGGGAAGTGGGCAGTACCATTAGTCCCATTATGCAGATGAGGAAACTGAGTCCTGGAGAAGCCAAGTCATAGCAGAAGACGATTTTCTCAGGTTGCACACGTTCATTGACCCCCTGGGAGATCAGGCGCAATCGCATGCATCAAAGCCCAAGCCCAATCTGGAACCCTAAACCCACCTAACACTTCCTCGTTTCAATTTTGCATTTTAACTCGCCAAAGTCCACAGTGTTTTTAGGAAGCAGAAGAGAGACGAGGTAATTTATTTTCAGACTTGCCTCTCTGAGGCTGCATGGGGCGAAGGACAGGCCCAGCACTTTCTCACTTCTCAGTCACATGAGTGGACCAGACTGACCTGACTTTGAGTCTCAGCAAAGCCCCTCACTAGCTGTGTGACCCTCTGTAGTTTGATTAACTTCTCTGAGCCCCAAGTCCCTTGTCTTTAAATTGGGGCTAGAGTAGCAGAACCTTCCCTATAACTTGGAGACTACAGTGGGGATCCTGGAGCTGAGTTGCTACATAACCACCGGCAAGTTACTCAGCCTTGTTCCTCATCTGTCACAAAGGCGTGGTAACCTCCTTGGGTCCCTGTGAGGATCAGGTGTAATAATGACTCCCGGGCCCAGAACCCGATGGAATCTTCCCTGCCTGGTTTAGAACCTTCTTGGGACCAGTGACCCTTTATCCTTCCCAGCGTCTCCCTTTTGGAATAGGACTCTCTACCCTGTGCCTGTCCCGCTCCTGTATTCTGGGGGCAGAGAATTTGTCTTCTAGTTCATGTCCACAGATGGGAGGGGATTTGGCCTCCAAATGGATCATACCCAGAGTCCCACCCATACCCAACTTAGATGATGAGATGTAGGATTTCTGAGCTGATGCTGTAACAGGCTAAGACTTCTGGGGATGTTGGGATGGGTGAGTGTATTCTGCACGTGAAATGGACATATATCTTGGGGGGGAGGAGCCAGAGGGCAGACTATAATGGGCAGAATGGTGGCCCCTCAAAAGATACGTCCACCTGGAAACCGTGAATGTGGCCTTATTTGGAGAAAGGGCCTTTGCAGATGTAATTAGGTTAAGGATCGTGAGATGAGGGGCGCCTAGGTGGCTCAGGTCATGATCCCAGGGTCCTGGGATCGAGCCCCGAGTTGGGCTCCCTGCTAGTGGGAAATCTGTTTCTCCCTCTGCCCCTCTCCTCCCCCCTGCTTGTGCTCTCTCCTCTCTCTCAAATAAATAAATAAAAATCTTAAAAAAAAAAAGGATCATGAGATGAGGTCATCCCAGATCAGGGTGGGCCCTGAATGCAATGACCAGTCCTCAGAAGAGAAGGAGAGAGGACACAGAGGGGGAGGGGTGCAAAGCTGGAGGCAGAGTGTGCAGTGATGCATCTATCGGCCCAGGAGGACTGAGCCACCAGGACTGCCAAACGCCCTGGGAACCTCGTACGGTGCCTGGACAGCGAACGTCAGCTGTAATGGTACGAGTAAATAAAGTCCACACCTGAATTTTCCCAATGTCTGACACAGCCCACAAATAGGTTCCTAATTCGAACCCACTCCTGGTCCTTCGTGGGAAGTTGTCCATGAGATGAAAATCTGGCTGGCACTGTCTCCTCATTGTTCTTACAGATTTTTTTTTTTTTTTAAGAGAGAGTTATCCCTAGCACAAAGCAGGTTCGGGTAAATTACTATTTCAAAGAGAACCTAGATCCTTCGGCCACCACGTAAAGAGGTTATACTAAAGAATACAGCAGCTGAGACCGTGGCACACCTCACGGGGATGTCAGCCTTGAGCCCAGGACCGAGAGCACCTTGGCTCCCTCTGCCGGCTCTGTCTGCTGCAGAGTCGGACCAAACTCAGCCTGCAGAGGCCTCACATCAAGTCTCCAGGAGGCTTCACTGCCAAGCGTCTCCAAGGAGAACTCAAAAGGGGTAGAAAACTTTGAAGTCAGGCCCCTTCCCCCTTCCCTCTTGGGGATGTGCATCATCTGCCCAGAATAGGCAGCTGGTTGCATAACCCTGTCCTGCACCGCATCCCTCTGCCAGCTAATCACTTCAGCATCCTTCTGCCAAGGGCTATGGACACCTTGCCCGGGGCGTGCTCAGGCCCCCAGGTGCAGAGGATGGTCCTGCTTCCTGGTGCCACCATGTCCTAAGGACCTATGTGTATTACCTCGTTTAATCCCCGCAGCCACCACCACTGGAGGTGGGATTAGGATCAGGCCCATTTTACAGATGAGGAAACTGAGGCCCGGAGAGGCAAAGGCCATTGCCAGGTGTCACCCAGCTGGGAAAGGGCTGGGCTGGGCTGGACTCTGGTCCTACAGATTCTAAGGCAGGATAGACTCTATGAGGCTCAGAGGTCCAGGATCTCCTCTTGCTCTTTCTGGGGAGTGGGTTTCGTGGTGATGGCAGCAGTTGGAACTAGGGTGCAGAGAACCCAGAGGTTAATTCCAGGGTGGTGCAGGTCTTGGCAAGAGCTGCCCCTATTCAGCCATGTCCAGCAGGAGGCACTGCCTGGGTACGGGGAGTGGCAGCTGCTCTGGGACCCGCAGCATTTTCCTGGGAGGCGGGGAGATCTCTACCTTTGCTCTGGTCGCCCTGGGGTGCCACTGGGCTCAGCCACCTGGGGTGGGGGATCTGGGGTCAGTGGCTGCTGAACGATGTAGAATGAATGAAATAGAATGTGCTTCCATCCACTTTTCACTGGGGTGAGCTTGTGAGAGCCTCGGGGGGCCATTTAAAGCTGGGGAGGAGACAAAGGCGTAATTGGGGGAGAGGCAGAGGGAACGGAAAGAGAGCAATTATATTTATATATATATATATATATATAATCAATGTTCTGGCGAATGAAAAACACAGTCTGGGAAAAGGCTCTAAGCAATGACAAAAAGGAAAAATGCTGGTGGCAGACCCCTTAGGCAGGGCAACTGGCTTGTCACCATAGAGACCTGAAATGTCTTTTTAGTATATTATATTCGTGAATAAAGTTTTCTCTTGGCTATTTTTTTTTTAAAGCAGATGAATGCCTCGTCTTGGATTTTTTTTTCTCTAGAAGTGTCTGAATCCTCGTGAAGTTTTATCTCCAACGAGCATTAGAACATTTTCATAAGCCAGGAGAATAAAGCCTCCCCTGGCCAGGGCATCTGGTGCGTCCATTACCAAGGGAATAGCAGAGCCCTCCTGGTGCAGGTCTGGGGGTGGCCGTGGGGAGGGGGGGCAGGGGCCACCTGTGGGATTCGGGAAAGCTGCATTCTTATCACACTGCTGCTATCAGCCGGCTGCCCTTGGAGAAAATCCCTTCCTCCTCTGGGCCTCAGTTTCCCCATCTGTGAAAGAAAGGAGCTGGAGTGGTCACTCTAAAGGCTATGGATTTAAAGTTGTTTTTTTTATGTCTGTCGATGAGAAAAAAAAATATTTTTTTTAGAGAGGGAGGGAGAGAGGTGGGGGTGGGACAGAGGGAGAGAGAGAATCTCGAGCAGACTCTATGCTGAGCGGAGAGCCTGACGCGGGGCTTGATCTCACGACCTCGAGATCATGACCTGAGCCGAAAACAAGAGCTGGACGCTTAACCCACTGAGCCATCCTGGTGCTTCGATGAGAAAATCTTAACAGTGTGAGTGATAATAATCATAGTAATAGCTAATACTTCCTGAAAGCTTGCTGTTACCATTACTACACATAGTTAGCATATATTGAGTACGTAGTAATAATCTTCACAGTGATAACAGTTAACATTCACCGAGTACTTTTATACGCCAGGCATGATTCAAAGCACTTTACATACATTAACTCAGTTGAACCTTCTGCTTACCCTAGGGGGTAGGTACCACTCTCATCCCCACTTTACAGATGAGCCAACAGAGGTGCACAGAGGGGAAGGGACACACTACAAGGCACACAGGCGGGAGGTGACCGGCAGGAGTGTGACCTCCGGCTCCAGAGTTCTTGCCCTTCACCACCAGGCTGTGACGACATTCCGTCCCTGTCACTCGGCCTCCTTCAATCACAGGAGTCATGTAACAATAAGGATGACAATAATAGCAATACTAGCAGTAGTGAGAAGAACGGCGCTGGTGAATCACGGGTCCTTAATTATCGAGTCATGTTCTAAGCACTGTATTCCACCTAAACATCCTTTCTGTGGCTTCTCCTTGCCCTTAGAGGATTCAAGGTCCTGCTGACCCATCACTGTCCCTTCCATTTCTTTGTCTGCCACTCTCTCCTCACCCTCCAAACTGCAAACCGGCCTCCTTCCGATCTACCTCAGGGCCTTTGCACATGCTGTTCTTAGCCTAGAACACTCTACTCCCTTTTCAGATTGTTCCTTTTGGGACCCTGCCCTGGGCACAGGGGGAGGGAGAGAGAGAATCTTGAGCAGACTCCTCACTGAGCACAGAGCCTGATGTGGGGCTCGATCTCACAACCCTGAGATCATGACGTGAGCTGAAACCAAGAGTTGGACACTTAACGGACTGAGCCACCCAGACACCCCTTGTATGTTTTAAATACACAGCCCATTTTCCCGGAATGCAACTACTGGGCACATTAAAGGAAGACTAGACTCTATTTTGTAAGGAACTTCGGCAAGAGGTGTTCTCCAGTTTGGAAAATCTCAACACTGGTGGCAACTCCCTCGTGTCACCTGAGTTGCCCCACCTGAAGCCAGCCAGCATCGGGAGCTGTCCCATTCACGGTGCCTCTGCACAAAGGGCCCTGCGTCACTTCACTCTGCCCTCTAGACCCTCCTTACTCAAAGTGTGGTCCCCGGACCAGCATCAGTCTCACCTGGGAGCTCCTAAGAAATGCAGAATCTCAAGCTGCACCCGAGACCCACTGATTTAGAATCTGTATTTTAATGAGGTCCCTGGGGATTCACGTACACATTCAATTTTGGTAAGTGCTGGCCTAGTGCCTATGTCATGTCATATAGCAGAGCCACTTAAACACGTCATTAAGAAATCAATATGATGCCCTCGTGGCGATATAAACAAAGACTAACAGGACGTCAGTGAATATAAGAACAATGTCTGTTTCAACACGGTTGGGCTCCTATACCTAGAATTACTACAGGACTGTTGCAAAATATTAAGAAAACAAGGATGCTGTTTCCTACTGGGTAGGGCGCTGCCCTGGAAGAAGCCTCCAAAAGCCTCAGCCCTGCTCTCAATTCAATTCTGAGGGCCTCGAGTGCCTTTTCAAATCCCTCAGGAACAGCCATCAGGTAAAAAAGATGGTTGACTCATTAACAGCTAAAAACGGTCTACATTTACCAAGCACTTCGGTGTCCTTGGCTCTTCTCCGGGCCTTTTGCTGGAATCATCTCTTTGAATTCCAGCAATGACCCAGTTTGATTCCCCCATCTCTATTATACAGACTGAGAAAACTGAGGCCCAGAGATGTGAAGTCACTTGCCCAAGGTCACACAGCAAGTACATGGAAGAGCTGAAGAATTCGGTGGTGGGGGGGTGGGGAGGGGGGATTTCTCACAGCTTTTCCCTGAGACGCGCAAGGGTGAGATGGTGAGCCTGCAGCCTCTGGCGGCCAGCCCAGACGGCCTAGGTTCAGGCCACTTCGTACCCGGGCGGCCCTGGGCCAGCCGCTCCGCGCCTCGCTTCCCCATCCGTGACAGTGGGGTCTGCCGCAGAAGGCTGAGACGCTCAGCAGGTGCGGGCTACCCCGCAGGCGCCACGTTGGCGCTTAGCATTATTACCGCTCTTGTCACCGGCCACAGCCTAGAGCCCCTCCTCCCCCCCTCCCCCCCCACTTACTTCCTCCTCCGGTGCCGGCGCTCCCTGTCCTCCCTCCGCGCGTCCGCCTCGTACGAGGCCGGGGGGCCGTGCCGGTGTCGCCGCCTCCGCTCGCCGCCGTCGGG